GGTTTGAGAATGAGAGTGTAACAATTGATTGTTTCGCCTCCAAACTACCCAAGGCCACCAAAACCTTGTCCTCAAAGGCGAAATTCCTAAGAGGTGTTTGAGATGGATGAGAGTAAGATTGAGAATTGGAAGCTTGAGGGTGAGAATAGTGATTCACATTATAAGGAGGATAAGAAAGATGATGGTACCCTCGGGAATTTTCATTTTGGAGATGAGGGGGCACATATTTTCCTTGGAAATTTTGACTTTGAGGATGGTTTACACCGGCTCCTTGATTTCTCCAAGAGAAGTTTGAAGTCTCTCTCCATCCCGGGATATAGGCATTGGAATATGGATGAACGAATGTGACATTCACTTGTTCTTGTTGCTCACTTAGAAAATTTTGTCCATTAGGACAATTAGAAGTATTGTGAGTGTAACTAGAACAAGCCATACACTTTTCATTTTGAGGGTGGGAAGAGTAGAATGATTGATTTGTCGGTCTTTGACTTAAAATGAATTGGTCAAGCCTTTGGGTAAGAGTTTTGACCTGAACGACAATCTCCATTGAATTTCTACTTTACACAAGTTTGAGTTCTTCTTCCACCTACCTTGGAATTATGACCTACCCGAGAGGATTAAGATCTATGCATTGAATTCTCACTCATATTCTAAAAGAGACGTCAAATGTCATCCTCATTCTTTTCCAAATATGAGCCTCCACATGAAGCATCAACCATACCTTTGTGGGTATCAGATAAGCTCTCATAGAAATATTGAACTAATTGCCACTTTGGAAGTGCATAGTGAGGGCACTTTCGTAGCAAGACATTCAAACGCTCATATGCCTCATGTAAGGGTTCTCCATCTCCTTCGGTCATTGAATTAGGTCTACTTGCGGGGTAATACTTTTTTAGAAATACTTGTTGCATTTGAGCCCATGATGTTATAGTATTTGCCCCCAAATTATTAAACCAATACTTAGCTTTGTCCCGAAGAGTGAAAGGGAAGAGCTTTATTTTCAAAACTTCTTCGGGAACATCTGTGATTTTCACGGTCGAGCAAACCTCTAGAAATTCATCCAAATGTTTGTAAGGTTCTTCATTGCTCAACCAATGAAAAATGGGACACATTTGGATGGTCGAGGGTTTAATCTCATAATAATTGGCCCTTAAATTTGGCAGTTGGATGCATGTTGGTGCATTGTATACATTTGGAGTGTAAAGATCATGAATGACTATATGAGGATTTGGAGCTTGAGCTCCAGGAGGGATTTGACCAAGAGGGGGTTGTTGGATCATGTTGGGGTCTACATAATCAAGATTCACATTTTGGTCTTCCATTGGAGTGATGTGATGAACAAGATTGGGAAGAGAGGAATACTAGGAAACGTTCTACCACGCGTACACAACAACAACAACAATTAACAACAAACTCCAACCGGCACATATTGTGTTCCCATACTTCTCAATATATCAATGCACAAAAGTAATGGCCTCGACAAGGACACATGCTTTTAACATTAAGGTAAATGGCGGCGACAAGGACCTAGGAAAAGAAATTTAATAAAGTAATTAGCCTCAACAAGGGATATCTCAAGCATATATCAAAATGAACAATTATGTTACAAGAATTTCAAGAATTGCTTACAAAGGTCCCAAGCAACAACGTCAAGATCCAATGCTTGCACTTCTTGCCGTCAAGTACCTAATTGCACAAGAGTAACAAGTAAGAAATAGCAAAAATTTAAAACAAGCAATCAAATGAGTACTAATACCTAATTCGATTCCAAGTAAAACCATTTATAATCCCCGTCAACGGCACCAAAAACTTGATGCTCTCCTCGGGTGTGCCCAAAAAGTGTGTATACTTTGGAATGTGCTAGAAAAATGTGCTAAGTGTGCATCAAGGATTAATATTTATAAAACCACTTAACACTAATACAATTAAGTATAGTGAGAAAGGGATCGTCCACAGGGATTTAGAGGGCACTTGGAATTAAACTTGGCTTAGTAGGTCAAGAGATTGAAAAGAGTTTGGTTTGGTTTGTTACTCTAACGATTAACTAAAAACATGCAATGTAGAACAAATTAAAGCTAAAGAGAGTAGAGTTTAGAAAATAGGAGAGGTATCTTAGGGCAGAAGAATCACCACTAAACTCATTCACTAAACCATAAGTCTTCATCTAATTTGGGAAAAATCATGTTGTAAACATAATGTGGCTACATGCACACATCAATCTAGAAAATTATACAACTTACAAGAAAAAGCATGGATTATCAAATTCAAGCATAGATTGTCTACCTAACGAGAATTAAAATGCAATCAAACTAAGATAATGAAATTAAGGCAATTAAACTAAAGGTATAGTACAATCCATCAAGCATAAGCATAACCCATCAAATTTATCAACAAGTGTATCTAATAAAATCCATGCATAACCATCACTAAATCCTAAAGACAAAGGTATGTAGTGTAGAGACATAATCCTTAATTAATCACACATAAACATGTAACCAATCTAGAGAATTAATAGGAAAAATTCAACCATAAAAATCATAGGAAAAATCAAGATTTATATATACACAAGGCTATAGCATCCATTACAACAATAAATTCCCCAAAAAGATAAAGACAAGCATTTAGATTACAAGCTTAGGGCTCATTTAAGGCCTAAGGAGAAGTCTAGCCACTCATGGAGTAGGTGGATGTGGTAATAGAACCCTCAAGGGCAATCTCCAAACATGGTTTCATCTTCTTCCTCTTGATCTTCTTGCGTGAACCTTAGAGATCTAGAGTTGGTCTTGCCTCTTTTCCCAAAACCCTAATTCTAGAAATAGAAAACTATGTAACAAAATATCTATCTAATGAAATATTAGCTCCCTTTTACAAAATGGTCCAATTCCCCTTTTTATACAAGACCTTTGAAGGCCAAAATAGGTCAGAAATAAGCCCCAAAATGAATGAATCCCGCAACCACTTTTGGTAGGTGAAGATCCGGCAAACTGCGCACAAAAATATCTTGCCAACACAAGTTGCGATCGATCACAACTTAGCTACGATCGTTGCGATCGATCGCAGCTAGCTAGCAATATTCTATCTTATCAGAGCTTAGTTTGACGTGGCTGTGATCGATAGCAGGATTTCCTGCGATCGATCTCAGGTTGTGCTGAAGACTTGGGTCATTTTGCTGACGTGGCATGGAATGCTGACGTGGCGGTGCGATCGATTGCACCTGGCCTGTGATCGATCACAAGCCCCCTTTTTAGCAATTTTTCTGACTTTTTCTAGATTTTCGCGATGTGTTTGCTTAACTCCAAAAAGGCTTTAATAGACCATTTTTAACCCATTTGAACCTTATTGACCTGAAATTAACAAAAAGACAAATTAGAATTAAACAGGAAATTAAAGATAGATGAAGGACTAAAATACCCTAACTTAGGGCTAAAATGTGCTACATTTAAACACTTATCAACGTACAACCCAAAAACACGTATGTTTTCAATAGTCTGGGACTGTACAATTCACACCAACATTGTTGGATAAAAGCCTAGGTCTCATCTGGTTTCGTGAATTCAAGGTGTTAAATGAGATCATTGGGTTATGTAATTAACTTAACGTTATGTGGTTAACATACCTTATTTGAATTACCGTTATATATGGGATTACGAAGTTAGGTTATTTTGTTGAACAATGATTATGTTTAACCTTTCTCGCTGAGCTTGTAAACTATTTATCACATTTAAGATACATGTTGAATAAGCACGTGATGAAGATGGGAATTAACTCATTTATGCATTTATTTTTTTTAATTCTTTTCTTATTGAGAGCATTGTAATAAGGATGATGTTTTTGTGACTTTTTATTTAATTGGTTAGAGGGATTTATAAAAGTTGTATCAGTTTAATAAAATTGTTAAATAAAAACTCACCTCTATTTATTTATTTGGATGGTTATGGATATGTAATGCAAGTCATGCCCAGTGACATAGTGTGTCCCCCTCACCCAAATAATGTGAGAAGTCCAACTATTGTGATTATTAATTTGCAATCCTCTAATTACTTGTTTCTATTGTGATAAATAGAAGCAATGATTATGGACAGAACATGTTTTCCAAACATAAATATGCTCTTTTTCAATTTTTGAAAGCTAAAAATCGAAAACACGTTTCGTAATAAAAAATAAAAAAGATCATTGGGTTGTAAAAATAAATAAAGGACAAGAAAACATATACAGAATAACATTACATACTCTTATATGATTCGGTCTTAAATGATGCTTGCGAGAAATTGTCAGCAAAAGCACAAAAACCTGTGACCTGTCCATGGCGTCTATCAACATTTGTAATGCTATCAAAAATTGAAAACATACGACTGGAAAGGACTACACATATTTTTGTTTTAAGTATAACAAACACAATGTTAAGGAACAATCTGTGTTTGGACCAAACAATACATCTCACATGACCAAACACAAACTCCTTACACAATCATGATATGGTTTAATAGCCGTCTTCTAAAAGTACTGAAAATTGGACTGGTAAACTAAACGTTTAAAATGTGTGACAATATAAAATAACGCCAACATTTTTTAAAAAATAAATATGGTTATACTCCAAATAATAAATAAATAAAGCACTATCAAGATCTGTTTTCCCCGAAGAGTGGGAGTAGTAGTAAGAAAAATAATTAAAAAGTAGTGAGACTCGGCAACCAACCATATGGCTTCTGTTCTAGTTACTGGGTTGAAATCCATCTGTGCTATATGGCCCTGCCTTGCCAGGGTCTATTGGTTCTTTTGAATGGCGGGTGATGCCATTCAACAATGAAAAGCTTCACAATTCTGTTTGGCCTGCAGGTCTGAGTTCGTCTCATTTTGAGAAGATGTTTCTGGCCGGTGCATTAAAAACGGTGTACCCAGTGCCAAATCTGGTAATCATTTTAGCAAGAACTGAAAACTAACATCACTATAATCAAGAATAATAAGCTCAAAATTAAGAAAACTCAAGGAGATACTACACAGAATATTAAGAAAATAGTACAGAGAAACGAGACAATGTCAATTTAGCCTGTTAATAAATCTATCTGACAATATATTATATATTATATATACCCGTCAATATATATTACAATCTATCTTAGATTCTAAATTTGTATGTATAATTAAACAGAGCTTCTTCAGAAGCACCACATTCCTTTTCTGTTTCGGCAACCAAAGGGAATTGAACACCAATGCACTACTTCATCTGGGCTATAAATTAAATGGCCCTCATTAAACCATAACTTACAGCAAAAGGAGCAATCAGCTCAAAGTCATCTTACAACTTGAAGCAATCAGCAAAGCTCAGTTCTATCCCACTGCCCACCACCTCTTGGAATTTCAATCACCACCTAGTATTACCAATCTTATTCCGGTGACGAACAATCTCCATCTTAGAGCTCTGTCTATCATTAATAAGGAAAAATTAGAAGCATGGACAAAAAGGAAATCTTAGTGACTAACACATTGGTCTGGAATCTCCCATGGCATCTGAAACTGTTCCAGCTTTCATTCTCTTTATATACAATGAAAAAACCAAAGGAACAAAGAACTAAATGATGAAAACTGATTGATGGAAATGGTGTGGTTTATGAACAGGATGGGGGTTGGATTTTTCCCTAAAACCCTTAAAGATCAACATTATACATGATCCGGGATATACCAACCAATCCCGTGTGGGGCACTAAAATGTACAGTGTGTGCTTTAACTTGTATCTACTTATCTGAGAAGTCCCCAAAGAGGAAGTGTGAAGTATTAGCATGTCGCCTTTCTTGCACAAGCTTCTGTGTCTCCAAAACAGGTTTCGAAGCCTGTTCATTAACTGGAAGTGAAAATGAAAGAGAAAGTGAAAGAGAAGCAGAGACATCATCCTCTGCTTTGGTTGCGAAATTCTCTGGAGGCTGAGCCTGGTCTTTATTGTCTACTTTTAAAAAATGCAGGATTCCCTGTTTGGACGGTATCATTTCACCCCCTAAAGCAAGCTCGAGATTTGGGGCCACATCAGAAACTCGATCCCCATCTTTTGAAGATAAGACTTTGAAAGGTATGGGGCTGTCACCCAAGCCAAAATCCTTCATAGGAGGTGGATCTACGGGAAAGAAGTACCTTTCAGTATTTCCTGAGTCCTGGGGGATCACTGTTTCCTCCAAAGTATCCTCCTTGATTGGGAAACTGGTACCCACACCATGCATCTCCGATGCAAAACCATCTTCAGAAGAACTTTTATCTGTACAACTATTATAGTCATATAGTCCACTGAGACCAGTCTTCTGTTTCTTGCTTGCACTTTCTGCAACCAACAAAATATTTACATCATTCAGTGGAGTTGTTTGACTAATGCTGGCAGAAGGTTGACAGACTGCCTCTGTAGGATCTACTTGCAGACATCCCCTGTGGTTGAGCTGCCAACAGTTGAGCTCCTTCGAAGTTGGGTCTCGTATCACTCTCTCCAGAGCAGCTTGTGTGTCTACAGATCCGTCTTCTTCCTCATATTTCACTTGATCTTTGCTACTGTTTACTCTACTAAGTATTATTTTCTCCATACCAGCACTTCCCACGGCACCAACCTCTTGAGCACCAACTGCAAGTTTCTTAAAAGAATCTGATAAAATCTGTGGCCTATCAAGTGGTGCATCCCAATGCATCAGCATCATCTGTCTTTCATTTGAGCCACTAAATATTCTTGGAACTTGTACAGAGAGTTGAAATTCATTATCCAATTCACAATCAGTATCAACATGTTTCTCCTACAAGGAGAATATACAAACATTAATATGCCGTTTCAATTTCGAGCTAGTATAATGCTTTCATATTAATAGAGATCTTACGTAAAAAGATAGTAAATTTAAGATTCATATGCAGAAGAATTGATCAAAAAGAGTAAAAGGCAATGATTTTAGATTTCAGATTCTCTTCTTTCCTTTTGATGGAAAATTTTCCATTCTGCGAAGGTATCTGCAAATAACATGTTCAAATTTTGGCTCACATAAACGTCTTCGAAATAGGGAGATTCTGACTTATGAGTAAATAATATATGAAACTGTTTTATGCTATTATACATATTTTTTTTAATTATGATTACCATTAATACAGATTTCAATATTAATTATGATAACAATGAGAGCATTATTGAAACGCTTAAAAAGAAAAAAACTGCAGCTGAAATGCATTACTTTTTCAAAAAGGAAACAACCAATTTACTCTTCAAAAAAGAAAATATCTCTAATGAAGTAATTGTAAAAACTTTGACTGGATTCACTGGAAAATACATTAATTTCAATAGTGCCTCCCAAAAGTTGACCGTCTGAATCCAGTGAAAGAACTAGAAAGGGCATAGAGGGGAAAGAATGGAGACTGACTTAGCTTTGGTGTTAGTTTACACAAAGTAACTGTTCTCACGACTTGAAATGGAGTTCTTTTACCATTGTAATGACCTTTATATCCAGTTATCCTAAATCCAGTGAGAGAATTCTGAAACCCAAAAAAATAGAAAACAAAAAATAAAATAAAAATAAAAAAGAAAGAACCTCCCTATGAGACACACACACACCTGCATAAGAATTTATTTGTTCATGCAGTATAACTGCACACATGCAAGAGAAATTATGATGCTGATATGGGTGACTAGTAATACTAGAAAAGACAGAATTGTGAAAAAATAAAAACTAAAAAAAGAAGCGAGACCGAGAAGTCAAAAGTGGCACCAACTGAATGTAAAATGAGAAACATCATTTAAGACGATTCTGCCATGTGCGAGATAGGCCAATCAGCGCACCAATAATGCAATACAAAGAGGTGCTTCGATCCAACTAGAAGGCGTGAAAAGGATGAGGCCAAAAAGCCATGGATTGAGGCTTTTGATTGCTATAGTTGTAACTGAATATACGGCCCTACATGGAGCTGCGAAAACTGAAAAGGGAATCCCATTGTCAACCCTAAGTATTCCATTCAAAAGCTTTATTAAGTAGACTGAAGTATGCATACTGTTGGGATTTGTGTCTCAAATTGCTACTCTAATTATGTTTCTATTTTAAAATTGTATTCTGCTTGGTAATTTCTTGTTTGGCAAGTCTTGGCCTCTAAGAAATTGTAATCCTTGTCCAACAAGGAATTGGGTTTGGAACTCTATAAATACATACATAGGCTTTGGGTTGAGACTTATGAGATTGAGAGAGATGTAGTCTCATGAGGGAGTTGATGGGTAGAGATAGTATGCAGGTTGGTAGATTAGAAAAAACACCGGTGACTCTGGTAGCGAGGAAATAGGCTCGTGGAGTGGTGGTGTTGGTACTCTATTGTTGTAATATCTCTACGAATCATAGTGGAATCTCTTCTCATCCATTGACGTAGGCCGGTTTTGGCTGAACCATGTATATCTTGTGTTTATGTGTGATTGCTTTGTTGGCTTTTATTGGATCTTTTTATTCACGCGCTTCCACTGCACCAGCTTCCACTGCACCAACACGTACCAACAACATTAGCCAGTCTAAGCACCTATTAGAAGTAAAGGCCTGCAAGAACTATCTAATGCATATATATCTATAACTTTCTAAAAAAAAACATCTATCTACTATTTTTATACATATAAATATCAGTAGATGACACCTAGAGTTGCACAAGGTCCGTGACCTAGACCAAGAGGGTGAATGAGTTGGTCTTATTGGTAGGATTAAAGGTTTTTAACAACTTTTTGAGTTTAAAACAACATAACAAAATTTTAAATTTAAACTGTAAATAAATAACTCAACTCCGTTCAATCCATCATTCTAGTCATGCAATACAAAATTCAAAATAGTAAAGCATAAAAGATGGTGACAGATTTATTATGTAGAGAACCTAATCTGGAAAAATAACAGATCCAGTCCAGGCTAACCATTTCTCATGTAGCCAAATCCACAGAAAAATATATTAAAAACTACATTACCAATTTTCCAAACCTAGAAAACTCCTAATTACCTCTTGACACACTAAACGCACCACAAGTCTCCAAGCAAATGATCTGCTCGTCAACAGACTTTACTCCATGAATCTGCTTTTCGAACCAGTGATTCAGTCTCAGCCATCAGTCACCCAGACCAATTTCTGATTAATAGATCAATGTTGGTGTTGAACTAGCTTGTCATAGCTCTTAAACAATTGATGTCAAAACACTTGAACAACACTCACCAACTGCCGATGATGAATGCTAAAGGAAGAATATGTATGCACTCAAAATATAAGCATTCTCTCTCTTTCTCTATATTTGTGAATTCTCTGTACGTGTAATCTGCCCTAGAGTGGTGTATTTATAGGCATAGTAGTAGTGTAGAGAAAGTAGAGTTTTTAGAGTTCCATTTTGGCAAGGAAACTGAAAACTGGAACAGGTCGATTGATCAAGAGTCTGGTCAATCCATGACACAACTCCAAAGACCTTCAATCGATAGCTCAATCAATCGAACTCTCCTGTAGAAATTATACATAGAAAATTTTCAAATTTGGTAGTTTACAAAATACTTTGCATGATATATCAAAAAGGATTTTCATTTATTTATTTTTATTATTATTATTATTTTGGTGTGTGTGTGCATTAGAAACCCTAATGAATGAATGCATGAACCCTAATTTTGGTGAGTACACTGAAGTAATTATACCCTTGAATGGAGCTTGAATTCATCTTCAAGCATGAGCAAGAGGTTACTACCATGACACTATAGTTTTTGTGCCGTTGTTCTAGGCCGCATCCCCCTTTTGGGCGCCTTTCAATGAATATTTATAAAAAAAAATAATAATAATAAAAAGAAGAAGAAGAAGAAGAAAGGAAAACTGCCATGGCACTAATTTCTAAAATTTCTGACTAATCTAGAAATAAGAACAACAGTACAGACTATTTTGATCAACAAAATTTTCCAACCTAAGTTCTATTGACCTAACAGAGGACAAAAAGACCGACGACCCTGGACTAGAATATCTTAACTAACCTATTCTATTCCAAACATCTTGTGATTTCTTGCAAAAGAGCGAAATTATATAAAGAAAGGCCTGGCTTCTAGGAATTAACAAATGTTATTTTAAAATTTCAACTAAGAAAAATCCCAACCTCTTTTTCCATATCCAATGTTTCTCGAAACAAAATAATTAAAGTTGAAGAAATTAGGGTTTGTAGAAGTAGAGGAGAAGAGGAGAGAGAGAGAGAGAAGAGTGTTTTGTGAAAGGTGAGTCAGAAGGTTAAGGTTTCCCCACACCTCTCACCTATTATTTACTAACTGGACATAAAGACAATAGTGCCCTTGATAAATTAAAAAAAATAACAACCACTCTCTAACACTCCCCCTCTTTTTGATAAATAGAGAGTATATATATATATTTTTTTGATAAATAATAATCAATTAAAAAGCGTTCAAAAGGGGAACGCGTCCCTTATACAAAAGCGAAACCGGGATCTAAGAACCCAAAGAATCCAAAAAATTAACTAAGTTATCGGAAGAGAAGCAAGAACTCCTCTTCACGTAACTAAAGATAGGGGGAATAATATGAAGTTTCAGCATCGCTATGGACAACTCCTTCCCTTCGAACATTCTGCTATTCCTCTCCTTCCAAATGCACCACAAAAGGCAGTGTGGAACTGTCCTCCAATAGTCGCGTACGCTGCTTCTCACGCGACATCCCCTCCACGCGTTAATCAGACCCTTAGAAGATTGAGGCATTATAAAGCGTTCAAACGGAGCTGGTCTTAAACATGCCCAGCTTGGAACACATGCGTTGAAAAGCTAGACAGGCAAGCGGCTTTGTAAGAACATCACCCAGCTGGTCTTCAGAGCAAATATAGGGAGTAACAATATGTTTTTGCATCAGCAAATCCCAAATTTAATAACAATCCACCTCAATATGCTTGGTATGCTCATGAAAACTTGTTAGCAAATATAATAACCACGATTTATGGAATGACTTACCATATGAGTAGAGATCTGATTATGCTCTAGAATATGCCATAGAATATGTTATATAATATGCCATATAATATGCTGTGATTTGATTTAATTTCCTTTCTTATAATATAAGCATGTGCTCTTTTTATCTATAAATACTAGAGCTGTAAATGAGTGATTATCTCATTCAAACCTTTAAAATATTTCTCTTCTCTTTCTTCTATATTGTATTTCTACTTGCTATCAAAGCCAGGGTGGTCTGACTACAATGAGGGCATTGCGAGTTCGGCACCACCCATTTGGGAATAGTCTAAGGTGACATCGCCCATCCGATAGGTGTCGGGTTGGCAGGTGGTCCGACCTCAATAAGGGCGTTGCGAGTTTGGCACCACCCATTTAGAAATGGTCTGAGACAGTTGTTTCTTTTTATGGTCTGAGGAGAGTCAGGACACATTGTTAATTCTTTCATCTACATTGTTTAAACATGTGTATGAAGGGGAATGGTCTGATAAGACACTATTGATTCTTCCATCTACACGTTTTAAACATGTGTACAAAGGGAAATAGTCTGAGGAGACATTATTGGTTGTTTACAGTATGAGGAGACATGATTAGCTGTTTATGGTTTAAGGAGACATTGTTAATTGTTTATAGTCTGAGGAGACATTTTTGATTTGTTGATTGGCAATTCATCTGAGAGAAAATCTTCGCTAGTCAGTTTTGCACTCCATTTGTCACAAGCTCTCAACAGCTTGCACACATTCTTACAAGGGCGTTAGCAAAGTTGTGTTTGAGAATGCATTGTCCAAGTTGGGCGTTTCAAATGTCCACGCACCAACTTG